TAGTAGTTGTGAAGTTCATTGTGTTGATGATGGTGGTTTTGTTTTGAATTTCAGACGTTGGTGTTGGTGGATGTGTTGAAGATTGTGAAGGCGAGTGAAGTTGAAAAGGAGATGTTTGGCGAGTCACATATTGACAGTAGGTAAGTGAATCATGAGTGGTGTTGTTGTTGTTTTGTAGATGGTGGTGTATGAGTGTGTGGGTTTTTGTGTGTTTTAATTTCTGATGTGATGGTATGCAGAGCGAAGCAAAGCAAAGAAATGCAGTGTAATATGATGTATTGTGGTGTGGTGTGGTATTTTGATGAGGGTGAGGATGAGGATGACGGTGAAGTTGAAGGTGAAGGAGATTGATATGTTGCACTATATGTGAATGTATGTATAGAGAGTGATAAAGTTTGTATGTGTTTGTGTGTGAGTGTTGGGTTTGGGTGAGATGAAGACGTTGATATGGCTGGTTGAGAGTGGGTGTAGTGTGAGCTGTGAAGAGTGTGTCGTGGTGTATTTTTGTTTGCATTGTGTTTTGTGTTTTGAGCTTTGTAGAGTGTATATGGATTTAGCTGGGTGTCGATGTGATGTGTACTTCCCAGCTCACTTCGACCCATTGGGTATGAGTGTGACATTCCTAATCTGATTTTGAAGAGGGTATTTTGATTTCTGTGTTTCGTGAAGCACATGTTTATTGCGTTTGTCTGAGTGGAGATAATTTGTTTTTGTTTTTGTGTTTCTTTGCAGTTGAATGTCGGTCGAATGGTGTTTGTATTGTGTATTGGAGGCGGATCGAGAGAGGGAGAGATCGAGATGGATGAATGGATGAAATTAGTGTTATACTGGATGGTTGAAAATCCAAGGTTGTTGTGTAGGTGATAGGATGAGATGAAGGTGAAGAATTGAGGGGAGGACCGAAGTTGTTTTTACTGAAAGTAAGTTTTTGTTGTATGGGTATTTTTTAGTTTGTGATTATGTTTGCTGTTTGTGTTGATGTGAATGTTGTATTGAGTGGTCTGTGATGGGGATGTTGGAGACGAGATGATGTTATTGTTATTCACGACGGTCTTTTGAGAGACACATGAAAAGGTTGTGAACACTGATTTGTTAATGTTTGCGTGTGAGAATGATGCTATTGAGTGTGTTGTTGTTGTCGTTATAGTAGTTGTGAAGTTCATTGTGTTGATGATGGTGGTTTTGTTTTGAATTTCAGACGTTGGTGTTGGTGGATGTGTTGAAGATTGTGAAGGCGAGTGAAGTTGAAAAGGAGAGGTTTGGCGAGTCACATATTGACAGTAGGTAAGTGAATCATGAGTGGTGTTGTTGTTGTTTTGTAGATGGTGGTGTATGAGTGTGTGGGTTTTTGTGTGTTTTAATTTCTGATGTGATGGTATGCAGAGCGAAGCAAAGCAAAGAAATGCAGTGTAATATGATGTATTGTGGTGTGGTGTGGTGTGGTGTGGTGTGGTATTTTGATGAGGGTGAGGATGAGGATGACGGTGAAGTTGAAGGTGAAGGAGATTGATATGTTGCACTATATGTGAATGTATGTATAGAGAGTGATAAAGTTTGTATGTGTTTGTGTGTGAGTGTTGGGTTTGGGTGAGATGAAGACGTTGATATGGCTGGTTGAGAGTGGGTGTAGTGTGAGCTGTGAAGAGTGTGTCGTGGTGTATTTTTGTTTGCATTGTGTTTTGTGTTTTGAGCTTTGTAGAGTGTATATGGATTTAGCTGGGTGTCGATGTGATGTGTACTTCCCAGCTCACTTCGACCCATTGGGTATGAGTGTGACATTCCTAATCTGATTTTGAAGAGGGTATTTTGATTTCTGTGTTTCGTGAAGCACATGTTTATTGCGTTTGTCTGAGTGGAGATAATTTGTTTTTGTTTTTGTGTTTCTTTGCAGTTGAATGTCGGTCGAATGGTGTTTGTATTGTGTATTGGAGGCGGATCGAGAGAGGGAGAGATCGAGATGGATGAATGGATGAAATTAGTGTTATACTGGATGGTTGAAAATCCAAGGTTGTTGTGTAGGTGATAGGATGAGATGAAGGTGAAGAATTGAGGGGAGGAGCGAAGTTGTTTTTACTGAAAGTAAGTTTTTGTTGTATGGGTATTTTTTAGTTTGTGATTATGTTTGCTGTTTGTGTTGATGTGAATGTTGTATTGAGTGGTCTGTGATGGGGATGTTGGAGACGAGATGATGTTATTGTTATTCACGACGGTCTTTTGAGAGACACATGAAAAGGTTGTGAACACTGATTTGTTAATGTTTGCGTGTGAGAATGATGCTATTGAGTGTGTTGTTGTTGTCGTTATAGTAGTTGTGAAGTTCATTGTGTTGATGATGGTGGTTTTGTTTTGAATTTCAGACGTTGGTGTTGGTGGATGTGTTGAAGATTGTGAAGGCGAGTGAAGTTGAAAAGGAGATGTTTGGCGAGTCACATATTGACAGTAGGTAAGTGAATCATGAGTGGTGTTGTTGTTGTTTTGTAGATGGTGGTGTATGAGTGTGTGGGTTTTTGTGTGTTTTAATTTCTGATGTGATGGTATGCAGAGCGAAGCAAAGCAAAGAAATGCAGTGTAATATGATGTATTGTGGTGTGGTGTGGTGTGGTATTTTGATGAGGGTGAGGATGAGGATGACGGTGAAGTTGAAGGTGAAGGAGATTGATATGTTGCACTATATGTGAATGTATGTATAGAGAGTGATAAAGTTTGTATGTGTTTGTGTGTGAGTGTTGGGTTTGGGTGAGATGAAGACGTTGATATGGCTGGTTGAGAGTGGGTGTAGTGTGAGCTGTGAAGAGTGTGTCGTGGTGTATTTTTGTTTGCATTGTGTTTTGTGTTTTGAGCTTTGTAGAGTGTATGTGGATTTAGCTGGGTGTCGATGTGATGTGTACTTCCCAGCTCACTTCGATCCATTGGGTATGAGTGTGACATTCCTAATCTGATTTTGAAGAGGGTATTTTGATTTCTGTGTTTCGTGAAGCACATGTTTATTGCGTTTGTCTGAGTGGAGATAATTTGTTTTTGTTTTTGTGTTTCTTTGCAGTTGAATGTCGGTCGAATGGTGTTTGTATTGTGTATTGGAGGCGGATCGAGAGAGGGAGAGATCGAGATGGATGAATGGATGAAATTAGTGTTATACTGGATGGTTGAAAATCCAAGGTTGTTGTGTAGGTGATAGGATGAGATGAAGGTGAAGAATTGAGGGGAGGACCGAAGTTGTTTTTACTGAAAGTAAGTTTTTGTTGTATGGGTATTTTTTAGTTTGTGATTATGTTTGCTGTTTGTGTTGATGTGAATGTTGTATTGAGTGGTCTGTGATGGGGATGTTGGAGACGAGATGATGTTATTGTTATTCACGACGGTCTTTTGAGAGACACATGAAAAGGTTGTGAACACTGATTTGTTAATGTTTGCGTGTGAGAATGATGCTATTGAGTGTGTTGTTGTTGTCGTTATAGTAGTTGTGAAGTTCATTGTGTTGATGATGGTGGTTTTGTTTTGAATTTCAGACGTTGGTGTTGGTGGATGTGTTGAAGATTGTGAAGGCGAGTGAAGTTGAAAAGGAGAGGTTTGGCGAGTCACATATTGACAGTAGGTAAGTGAATCATGAGTGGTGTTGTTGTTGTTTTGTAGATGGTGGTGTATGAGTGTGTGGGTTTTTGTGTGTTTTAATTTCTGATGTGATGGTATGCAGAGCGAAGCAAAGCAAAGAAATGCAGTGTAATATGATGTATTGTGGTGTGGTGTGGTGTGGTGTGGTATTTTGATGAGGGTGAGGATGAGGATGACGGTGAAGTTGAAGGTGAAGGAGATTGATATGTTGCACTATATGTGAATGTATGTATAGAGAGTGATAAAGTTTGTATGTGTTTGTGTGTGAGTGTTGGGTTTGGGTGAGATGAAGACGTTGATATGGCTGGTTGAGAGTGGGTGTAGTGTGAGCTGTGAAGAGTGTGTCGTGGTGTATTTTTGTTTGCATTGTGTTTTGTGTTTTGAGCTTTGTAGAGTGTATGTGGATTTAGCTGGGTGTCGATGTGATGTGTACTTCCCAGCTCACTTCGACCCATTGGGTATGAGTGTGACATTCCTAATCTGATTTTGAAGAGGGTATTTTGATTTCTGTGTTTCGTGAAGCACATGTTTATTGCGTTTGTCTGAGTGGAGATAATTTGTTTTTGTTTTTGTGTTTCTTTGCAGTTGAATGTCGGTCGAATGGTGTTTGTATTGTGTATTGGAGGCGGATCGAGAGAGGGAGAGATCGAGATGGATGAATGGATGAAATTAGTGTTATACTGGATGGTTGAAAATCCAAGGTTGTTGTGTAGGTGATAGGATGAGATGAAGGTGAAGAATTGAGGGGAGGAGCGAAGTTGTTTTTACTGAAAGTAAGTTTTTGTTGTATGGGTATTTTTTAGTTTGTGATTATGTTTGCTGTTTGTGTTGATGTGAATGTTGTATTGAGTGGTCTGTGATGGGGATGTTGGAGACGAGATGATGTTATTGTTATTCACGACGGTCTTTTGAGAGACACATGAAAAGGTTGTGAACACTGATTTGTTAATGTTTGCGTGTGAGAATGATGCTATTGAGTGTGTTGTTGTTGTCGTTATAGTAGTTGTGAAGTTCATTGTGTTGATGATGGTGGTTTTGTTTTGAATTTCAGACGTTGGTGTTGGTGGATGTGTTGAAGATTGTGAAGGCGAGTGAAGTTGAAAAGGAGAGGTTTGGCGAGTCACATATTGACAGTAGGTAAGTGAATCATGAGTGGTGTTGTTGTGGTTTTGTAGATGGTGGTGTATGAGTGTGTGGGTTTTTGTGTGTTTTAATTTCTGATGTGATGGTATGCAGAGCGAAGCAAAGCAAAGAAATGCAGTGTAATATGATGTATTGTGGTGTGGTGTGGTGTGGTGTGGTATTTTGATGAGGGTGAGGATGAGGATGACGGTGAAGTTGAAGGTGAAGGAGATTGATATGTTGCACTATATGTGAATGTATGTATAGAGAGTGATAAAGTTTGTATGTGTTTGTGTGTGAGTGTTGGGTTTGGGTGAGATGAAGACGTTGATATGGCTGGTTGAGAGTGGGTGTAGTGTGAGCTGTGAAGAGTGTGTCGTGGTGTATTTTTGTTTGCATTGTGTTTTGTGTTTTGAGCTTTGTAGAGTGTATGTGGATTTAGCTGGGTGTCGATGTGATGTGTACTTCCCAGCTCACTTCGACCCATTGGGTATGAGTGTGACATTCCTAATCTGATTTTGAAGAGGGTATTTTGATTTCTGTGTTTCGTGAAGCACATGTTTATTGCGTTTGTCTGAGTGGAGATAATTTGTTTTTGTTTTTGTGTTTCTTTGCAGTTGAATGTCGGTCGAATGGTGTTTGTATTGTGTATTGGAGGCGGATCGAGAGAGGGAGAGATCGAGATGGATGAATGGATGAAATTAGTGTTATACTGGATGGTTGAAAATCCAAGGTTGTTGTGTAGGTGATAGGATGAGATGAAGGTGAAGAATTGAGGGGAGGACCGAAGTTGTTTTTACTGAAAGTAAGTTTTTGTTGTATGGGTATTTTTTAGTTTGTGATTATGTTTGCTGTTTGTGTTGATGTGAATGTTGTATTGAGTGGTCTGTGATGGGGATGTTGGAGACGAGATGATGTTATTGTTATTCACGACGGTCTTTTGAGAGACACATGAAAAGGTTGTGAACACTGATTTGTTAATGTTTGCGTGTGAGAATGATGCTATTGAGTGTGTTGTTGTTGTCGTTATAGTAGTTGTGAAGTTCATTGTGTTGATGATGGTGGTTTTGTTTTGAATTTCAGACGTTGGTGTTGGTGGATGTGTTGAAGATTGTGAAGGCGAGTGAAGTTGAAAAGGAGAGGTTTGGCGAGTCACATATTGACAGTAGGTAAGTGAATCATGAGTGGTGTTGTTGTTGTTTTGTAGATGGTGGTGTATGAGTGTGTGGGTTTTTGTGTGTTTTAATTTCTGATGTGATGGTATGCAGAGCGAAGCAAAGCAAAGAAATGCAGTGTAATATGATGTATTGTGGTGTGGTGTGGTGTGGTATTTTGATGAGGGTGAGGATGAGGATGACGGTGAAGTTGAAGGTGAAGGAGATTGATATGTTGCACTATATGTGAATGTATGTATAGAGAGTGATAAAGTTTGTATGTGTTTGTGTGTGAGTGTTGGGTTTGGGTGAGATGAAGACGTTGATATGGCTGGTTGAGAGTGGGTGTAGTGTGAGCTGTGAAGAGTGTGTCGTGGTGTATTTTTGTTTGCATTGTGTTTTGTGTTTTGAGCTTTGTAGAGTGTATGTGGATTTAGCTGGGTGTCGATGTGATGTGTACTTCCCAGCTCACTTCGACCCATTGGGTATGAGTGTGACATTCCTAATCTGATTTTGAAGAGGGTATTTTGATTTCTGTGTTTCGTGAAGCACATGTTTATTGCGTTTGTCTGAGTGGAGATAATTTGTTTTTGTTTTTGTGTTTCTTTGCAGTTGAATGTCGGTCGAATGGTGTTTGTATTGTGTATTGGAGGCGGATCGAGAGAGGGAGAGATCGAGATGGATGAATGGATGAAATTAGTGTTATACTGGATGGTTGAAAATCCAAGGTTGTTGTGTAGGTGATAGGATGAGATGAAGGTGAAGAATTGAGGGGAGGAGCGAAGTTGTTTTTACTGAAAGTAAGTTTTTGTTGTATGGGTATTTTTTAGTTTGTGATTATGTTTGCTGTTTGTGTTGATGTGAATGTTGTATTGAGTGGTCTGTGATGGGGATGTTGGAGACGAGATGATGTTATTGTTATTCACGACGGTCTTTTGAGAGACACATGAAAAGGTTGTGAACACTGATTTGTTAATGTTTGCGTGTGAGAATGATGCTATTGAGTGTGTTGTTGTTGTCGTTATAGTAGTTGTGAAGTTCATTGTGTTGATGATGGTGGTTTTGTTTTGAATTTCAGACGTTGGTGTTGGTGGATGTGTTGAAGATTGTGAAGGCGAGTGAAGTTGAAAAGGAGAGGTTTGGCGAGTCACATATTGACAGTAGGTAAGTGAATCATGAGTGGTGTTGTTGTGGTTTTGTAGATGGTGGTGTATGAGTGTGTGGGTTTTTGTGTGTTTTAATTTCTGATGTGATGGTATGCAGAGCGAAGCAAAGCAAAGAAATGCAGTGTAATATGATGTATTGTGGTGTGGTGTGGTGTGGTATTTTGATGAGGGTGAGGATGAGGATGACGGTGAAGTTGAAGGTGAAGGAGATTGATATGTTGCACTATATGTGAATGTATGTATAGAGAGTGATAAAGTTTGTATGTGTTTGTGTGTGAGTGTTGGGTTTGGGTGAGATGAAGACGTTGATATGGCTGGTTGAGAGTGGGTGTAGTGTGAGCTGTGAAGAGTGTGTCGTGGTGTATTTTTGTTTGCATTGTGTTTTGTGTTTTGAGCTTTGTAGAGTGTATGTGGATTTAGCTGGGTGTCGATGTGATGTGTACTTCCCAGCTCACTTCGACCCATTGGGTATGAGTGTGACATTCCTAATCTGATTTTGAAGAGGGTATTTTGATTTCTGTGTTTCGTGAAGCACATGTTTATTGCGTTTGTCTGAGTGGAGATAATTTGTTTTTGTTTTTGTGTTTCTTTGCAGTTGAATGTCGGTCGAATGGTGTTTGTATTGTGTATTGGAGGCGGATCGAGAGAGGGAGAGATCGAGATGGATGAATGGATGAAATTAGTGTTATACTGGATGGTTGAAAATCCAAGGTTGTTGTGTAGGTGATAGGATGAGATGAAGGTGAAGAATTGAGGGGAGGACCGAAGTTGTTTTTACTGAAAGTAAGTTTTTGTTGTATGGGTATTTTTTAGTTTGTGATTATGTTTGCTGTTTGTGTTGATGTGAATGTTGTATTGAGTGGTCTGTGATGGGGATGTTGGAGACGAGATGATGTTATTGTTATTCACGACGGTCTTTTGAGAGACACATGAAAAGGTTGTGAACACTGATTTGTTAATGTTTGCGTGTGAGAATGATGCTATTGAGTGTGTTGTTGTTGTCGTTATAGTAGTTGCGAAGTTCATTGTGTTGATGATGGTGGTTTTGTTTTGAATTTCAGACGTTGGTGTTGGTGGATGTGTTGAAGATTGTGAAGGCGAGTGAAGTTGAAAAGGAGAGGTTTGGCGAGTCACATATTGACAGTAGGTAAGTGAATCATGAGTGGTGTTGTTGTTGTTTTGTAGATGGTGGTGTATGAGTGTGTGGGATTTTGTGTGTTTTAATTTCTGATGTGATGGTATGCAGAGCGAAGCAAAGCAAAGAAATGCAGTGTAATATGATGTATTGTGGTGTGGTGTGGTGTGGTGTGGTATTTTGTTGAGGGTGAGGATGAGGATGACGGTGAAGTTGAAGGTGAAGGAGATTGATATGTTGCACTATATGTGAATGTATGTATAGAGAGTGATAAAGTTTGTATGTGTTTGTGTGTGAGTGTTGGGTTTGGGTGAGATGAAGACGTTGATATGGCTGGTTGAGAGTGGGTGTAGTGTGAGCTGTGAAGAGTGTGTCGTGGTGTATTTTTGTTTGCATTGTGTTTTGTGTTTTGAGCTTTGTAGAGTGTATGTGGATTTAGCTGGGTGTCGATGTGATGTGTACTTCCCAGCTCACTTCGACCCATTGGGTATGAGTGTGACATTCCTAATCTGATTTTGAAGAGGGTATTTTGATTTCTGTGTTTCGTGAAGCACATGTTTATTGCGTTTGTCTGAGTGGAGATAATTTGTTTTTGTTTTTGTGTTTCTTTGCAGTTGAATGTCGGTCGAATGGTGTTTGTATTGTGTATTGGAGGCGGATCGAGAGAGGGAGAGATCGAGATGGATGAATGGATGAAATTAGTGTTATACTGGATGGTTGAAAATCCAAGGTTGTTGTGTAGGTGATAGGATGAGATGAAGGTGAAGAATTGAGGGGAGGAGCGAAGTTGTTTTTACTGAAAGTAAGTTTTTGTTGTATGGGTATTTTTTAGTTTGTGATTATGTTTGCTGTTTGTGTTGATGTGAATGTTGTATTGAGTGGTCTGTGATGGGGATGTTGGAGACGAGATGATGTTATTGTTATTCACGACGGTCTTTTGAGAGACACATGAAAAGGTTGTGAACACTGATTTGTTAATGTTTGCGTGTGAGAATGATGCTATTGAGTGTGTTGTTGTTGTCGTTATAGTAGTTATGAAGTTCATTGTGTTGATGATGGTGGTTTTGTTTTGAATTTCAGACGTTGGTGTTGGTGGATGTGTTGAAGATTGTGAAGGCGAGTGAAGTTGAAAAGGAGAGGTTTGGCGAGTCACATATTGACAGTAGGTAAGTGAATCATGAGTGGTGTTGTTGTTGTTTTGTAGATGGTGGTGTATGAGTGTGTGGGATTTTGTGTGTTTTAATTTCTGATGTGATGGTATGCAGAGCGAAGCAAAGCAAAGAAATGCAGTGTAATATGATGTATTGTGGTGTGGTGTGGTGTGGTGTGGTATTTTGATGAGGGTGAGGATGAGGATGACGGTGAAGTTGAAGGTGAAGGAGATTGATATGTTGCACTATATGTGAATGTATGTATAGAGAGTGATAAAGTTTGTATGTGTTTGTGTGTGAGTGTTGGGTTTGGGTGAGATGAAGACGTTGATATGGCTGGTTGAGAGTGGGTGTAGTGTGAGCTGTGAAGAGTGTGTCGTGGTGTATTTTTGTTTGCATTGTGTTTTGTGTTTTGAGCTTTGTAGAGTGTATGTGGATTTAGCTGGGTGTCGATGTGATGTGTACTTCCCAGCTCACTTCGACCCATTGGGTATGAGTGTGACATTCCTAATCTGATTTTGAAGAGGGTATTTTGATTTCTGTGTTTCGTGAAGCACATGTTTATTGCGTTTGTCTGAGTGGAGATAATTTGTTTTTGTTTTTGTGTTTCTTTGCAGTTGAATGTCGGTCGAATGGTGTTTGTATTGTGTATTGGAGGCGGATCGAGAGAGGGAGAGATCGAGATGGATGAATGGATGAAATTAGTGTTATACTGGATGGTTGAAAATCCAAGGTTGTTGTGTAGGTGATAGGATGAGATGAAGGTGAAGAATTGAGGGGAGGAGCGAAGTTGTTTTTACTGAAAGTAAGTTTTTGTTGTATGGGTATTTTTTAGTTTGTGATTATGTTTGCTGTTTGTGTTGATGTGAATGTTGTATTGAGTGGTCTGTGATGGGGATGTTGGAGACGAGATGATGTTATTGTTATTCACGACGGTCTTTTGAGAGACACATGAAAAGGTTGTGAACACTGATTTGTTAATGTTTGCGTGTGAGAATGATGCTATTGAGTGTGTTGTTGTTGTCGTTATAGTAGTTGTGAAGTTCATTGTGTTGATGATGGTGGTTTTGTTTTGAATTTCAGACGTTGGTGTTGGTGAATGTGTTGAAGATTGTGAAGGCGAGTGAAGTTGAAAAGGAGAGGTTTGGCGAGTCACATATTGACAGTAGGTAAGTGAATCATGAGTGGTGTTGTTGTTGTTTTGTAGATGGTGGTGTATGAGTGTGTGGGATTTTGTGTGTTTTAATTTCTGATGTGATGGTATGCAGAGCGAAGCAAAGCAAAGAAATGCAGTGTAATATGATGTATTGTGGTGTGGTGTGGTGTGGTATTTTGATGAGGGTGAGGATGAGGATGACGGTGAAGTTGAAGGTGAAGGAGATTGATATGTTGCACTATATGTGAATGTATGAATAGAGAGTGATAAAGTTTGTATGTGTTTGTGTGTGAGTGTTGGGTTTGGGTGAGATGAAGACGTTGATATGGCTGGTTGAGAGTGGGTGTAGTGTGAGCTGTGAAGAGTGTGTCGTGGTGTATTTTTGTTTGCATTGTGTTTTGTGTTTTGAGCTTTGTAGAGTGTATGTGGATTTAGCTGGGTGTCGATGTGATGTGTACTTCCCAGCTCACTTCGACCCATTGGGTATGAGTGTGACATTCCTAATCTGATTTTGAAGAGGGTATTTTGATTTCTGTGTTTCGTGAAGCACATGTTTATTGCGTTTGTCTGAGTGGAGATAATTTGTTTTTGTTTTTGTGTTTCTTTGCAGTTGAATGTCGGTCGAATGGTGTTTGTATTGTGTATTGGAGGCGGATCGAGAGAGGGAGAGATCGAGATGGATGAATGGATGAAATTAGTGTTATACTGGATGGTTGAAAATCCAAGGTTGTTGTGTAGGTGATAGGATGAGATGAAGGTGAAGAATTGAGGGGAGGAGCGAAGTTGTTTTTACTGAAAGTAAGTTTTTGTTGTATGGGTATTTTTTAGTTTGTGATTATGTTTGCTGTTTGTGTTGATGTGAATGTTGTATTGAGTGGTCTGTGATGGGGATGTTGGAGACGAGATGATGTTATTGTTATTCACGACGGTCTTTTGAGAGACACATGAAAAGGTTGTGAACACTGATTTGTTAATGTTTGCGTGTGAGAATGATGCTATTGAGTGTGTTGTTGTTGTCGTTATAGTA